GTACGACTTTCTGGCTACCCCATATATAAAACTAACATAATCCAGTTTGGAACAGAGTAACGATTGGTATAGTTTGATCAAAATATACTGATCTGCTCTCCATTCAGTATGAGCCACTACACGCAGAAGTTGTAGGACCTTTGCTACATTTCATTTCCAAATACTTCAGATTAGGGATCAAAGTTAGTTTCCTGTCAAAAATTTCACCTAGAAACTTGTGCTGTTGCACTACTGGAATTTCTGCTTCATCTAATTTCAAACATGGATCATTATGTAATTTTCTTAATTTGCAGAAATATATACATTTAGTTTTTATTTTAGAAAACGTAAACCCATTTTCCATGGCGCATTTCTGTATTTTATTTAAGTACTGATGAAGTTGCCTTTCTATTGTTTCCATATGTCGAGATTTGTAGATGATTAAGAAATCGTCAACATAGAGGGAGAATCTAACTCCTAGGCTTAGGGATTTAACTATGGAATTGATCTTAATGCAAAAAAGCATCACTGATAGAATGGTTCCTTCTGGAACTCCTTCCTCTTGTTCTTGTACTTCCGATAGTGCACTTCCTACGTGGACTTGAAAATTTCGAGTTTTAAGGAAGTTTCCTGTGAATTCTGTCATTCTACCTCTTACTTCCAATTCATGCAAATCTTTTAATATGCCGAACTTCCATGTAGTATCATAGGTATCCTAGGTTTTTCTAAGTCAAAAAAGACTGCCGTGAGATGTTCCTTCCGAAGAAATGCTTCCCTGACAAAAATCTTCAGCCGCACTAAAGGGATCCATGGTACTTCTTTTTTCCTGAACGCACATTGGTAATCACTGACTAGGCCATTATTTTCAAAATGCCAAGTCAATCTGTTGTTGACCATTCTTTCCATAGTTTTACACAGACAATTGGTTAATGCTATCGGCCTGTAAATTCCAGGTTCTAATTCAGCCAGGTTTCGGAATTGGAATGCTGAAAGAATGTCTCCACAAATGTGGGAAGTAGCCACTTGTTCATATGTTATTAAATAATTTTAGCAACAATTGCAATGATTTGTTTGGCAGCTGTTTTAAGAATTGATAATGTATATCGTCTCGTCCCACATCTGTATGATGGGCTTTCTTTAAAGATTCAATCAATTCATCTATCGTAATTGGAAGGTTGTAGCTCTCAGCATTATTGGATTTAAAGTTCATTTATTTGTTTTTTTGTTTGAACTTAACAAATTGTTGACTAACATTCTTGGCTTTTTCTTGTTTTTTTTTCTTTTTTGATGGTTATTGCCAATTCATCAGCATTATCCTTTTTGCTGGTTATTTTATTATTTATGGAAAGGTGTTTTATTGCATTAGTATAAAATTTACCAGCTATCTTCTTTATCATATGCCATACAGATTTTGTTTTTGTCGCTGAACTAAGTTTGCAGACAATTTTTCCAACATTCCTGTTTTTTATCTTTGACTATTTTTCGAGATTTTGCTCGAAGTTTCTTAAATTTCAGCAAGTTATCTGTTGTGGGCTCTTTGTTAAAATCCCTTAAAGCCCTTCTTCTGAGCCTGATAGTCTTTTTACACTCATCATTAAACCAATGTCTATTATGCTTTTTTTTTTATTTCAATCTTTGGGATGCATTTCTTTGCTATAGGGATTTCTGCAAACTGTGACGTCCTTGATGCATAATCCTTCTTCTAGTTTTTCAGAACATAGCTTTTGAAATCCCTTCCATTTTGCTTTACTCAATTTCCAACATTGGGGATCTTTGTCATTTTGCTCTGAATTTTGCAGAACAATTGGAAAATGATCGCTACCACATGTGCCCATCGATACTTTCCAGGAAAAGTCCATAAAGATAGATGAATTGCACAAAGACAAATCGATTGCCAAGTAACTGCCAGAGAACAAATATATTTAAGCTGGGGATTTATCATTATAGATACACAGATTTTTGTTATTTATAACAGATTCCATACTCTTTCCTTTCTGGTTTGTATCTGTACAGCCCCATATGGTACTGTAACAATTAAAATCCCCTAGTAACATAAAGGGGGCAGGGAGTTGCCTTATAGTTTCCTGCAATTCAGTTTCATTTATCTCTTTATTCGGGCAGATGTTTATTTGCTCTGTATAGCGTTACTTTTACAACAATCGCCTGTTTTTTTTGTTGTTATTTTCATCTGACTTTGTGGAAAATCATTCCTGACTAAGATGGATGTACCACCTGATACCCGAAGACCAGTGTCATCTATATAATTGTATTGCTGGTACTCTCTAATATTTATTTTATTACCCCTCTTAAGAAAGGTTTCCTGAAGGCAAATAACTACCGGAGCCAGGTTTATTATCAACAGAAGCAACTCGTTAATGTTTGCCTTCCCTTTACGGCAGTTCCATTGTATTGTTTTATACATACTTGTACTCTTGTGTTTTATGGCTTATTAGTTTTTACTTTGTTTTAATTTAGAAGTTTTAGCCGTCACTGTGTTTTGGCTCTCTATTTCCATCTCTTCCAACTTATGAAAACGATTTTCAGTAGAGACTTCGTCTTTATGGATTTTCAACTTTTGCTTGGTCGTTTCCGTTTTCTTTGGTGATGCACTTAATTTAGAGTTTAGGGTCTTTGGTGAACGTATAGGCGATCTTTGTGGCCTTTGTTCTATTCAGATCGATTAACATTTTTGGGAGGTGAGGTCTGAGTCTGTGAAGATGTTATAAACTTACTGTTACCTTTTCCGTTTTACAATTTCCTTTCTTTCAAATTTATTTTAAAAATTGGGTCAATCATTTGGCCCTAAGTGTACAAGTCTCTCAATAAGGTCCCTATACTTGTCAGTCTGATTGAAGTTATTTAGACCTGTCCTATCCACTATTCTTGCATACGAAGGGCCCCTCATATACCCTTCAACTACTGTTTTTGCTTCTGTAAAAGAAATGTTCCTTTTATATTTCACTTCTATAATCTCTTTTACTTTTTTTCAATATTCACAAGTTCGAGAGTAAGCTGGATAATTTTCCTGGTAATTTGCGCATTTAATTTCATCCTGGCGCTCATCTTCACCGATATCAGACCCTTTTGGGCAATATTTTGCGCATGTAGGGCGACTCCTACAGCTATCTCTGTGATATCCAATTTTTTGACCTCTAAAACATCTCCGAGGAGTCGGGATATATAGCTCCACTGGATCGACATTGTAGGCTATTTTGATTTTAGATGGAATTTTAGGTGAGTTAAAGGTAAGGATGTATGTATCCCAAGACAGATAAAATTTCTTCTGTTATGGTAAGAGAGTGTTCTTTATTTCTAATCACTCCCTTTGATATATTCAACCTTGGGGGAGGGGAGTTTTGATATTCACATTGTGAAAAGTCTTAATTTTTATTATAGATTCCCCGTGGTTTCTGGTTTCAACCTCCACCATCAAATTACCGTCTCTCATCTTTCTGATTTTGGATTAATCCAACTGAATAATACTTTCTCAAACAAGAAAGGGGACAGTCTCGACAACGGAGTTTCCTCCAAAGACTCGAGCAGAAATAATCTTGGAAAGTCCATATTAGTTTCTTTTTCAGAATCCGAGTCCAAAAGATATCGCTTGTTTTTGTTTTTTTTTGTTTTGTTTTTTATTTGGATTCATAATTTGTATGAATTAAATTTCACTGCCTGTGCTTCCCACCCACCTCGGAGCCCAATGTTAGGACATGTCAAGGGGGAAACCCAATAGCCTTGACAGGTCATGGTTACACAAAGCAGTATACTCGCATTCATGAGAGACCTGGAGTACCTGTCACCACATTTTTCACACTACTTAATTTTTCAATAAACAAATTGAAGGGTTAACAGCTATGTCCAAACCTAAATGTCTCTACGAACCGACTGACCACCAGCCAACGCCTTCTATCGTCTATACATTAGGTTGAGTTATTATCCATCCAATAGTTTATTTGGGTAAAGTTTTCGTAAAGTGCTCAATTTGGTATTGTTATAGGCATTAGGGCTTCACTCGACTAGCCGACTGATCGGATCGGGCCTCTCCGACCGCCCGTCTAGTCCAGGTAAGGACCAAAGTGGTGTGTTTGGAATCCGAAGTACCCAAACCTGACCACTGAAACACTCAAACATCAGGATTCCGTCCCCAGACTTCACAGGTCGCCACCCACGGTAAACAGGTAGCCCCATTGGGATAGTTTACCCCTCTGCAGAGGTGTATTCGGAAAATTCTGAAGCCCCAACCGACAGGGCGGATAATATTCGTGGCCGTTTCCTTCCTAATCTTTTATTTGAAGTTGTGTAGCATGTCAACATCTTGATTATATCATTATTTTCTCTTCGAGTTACATGCGATATGCTTTTAAGCTTTTGCTGCTAACAGAAATCTCATCACTTGAGGACTTTCATTAATTCATGCCCATCTGTTCACATCTGTTCTTGTAAATGCTCAGGAAATAATCTAGGAAAAGATCAAATTGACTGGGGCTCTCATTTCCTTCTTGTCGTATTCCTACTGAGGTTTGAAACGTTCCCACAGTGGGATCCTCGCCAAAGATGCAAGGTTTTGTGGACCGATATTGTTCCACTATTAGAGTGGGGTATTCACTGGAGTCAGCATGGAAGGCGGTTCCTAATCGATGAAAAGGGGAAGTCTCTATTGTGGCCATATGCTCCTATGAGGTCAACATAACGGTTATACAATTTCCAGAGAGGTATGCAAGTTCGTGGAGTTGTTTGATGACCTATGTCATCATTATATCCCTTACCATAACGAAACCCAAACTGAGTTAACTTTCATAAAACGATGAGAGCTTAGTTAATATAATGTTTATTAATACTTTCAGCATAATGGATCCAATTGAGCTATCTCTGTATGTATGAGAGTCTTAAGAACTACCCCTTTTGTTTCCCAAGGGTATCTGTGAGTAAGTGAATATAACGAACCCAACTGGAATTGGAACTCTGCTCTCCGATTAACAATTCCGAGCCATTATTCATAGCACTACCCGCACATCCGGGCTTACAGAATTTGGTATTCCTAAGTGCTCAACCATATAGGTACTGACCAGGCTCTACGTTGCTTGACTTTGGTGATCGTATGGGAACCAGTATTTCAGCGAGATATGGCCGTAATCACAGGAAGAGATGAAAGAAAGAAAGAAAGATGATGAAATGAAAAAAAAGCGAAATAATTAATAAAAGAGAAGGAAAGGATGAAGATAAGGGAAAAATGTATGGAAGGAGAGCAAATTGCAAGAGCAAAGCAAGAATTCTGCTTCGCCTTTAGAGCGAGGTCATGAGAAAGACTGTCGAGCAAATGAATCTTCTGCAAATGACGAAGTGAGGGAGGGGATGAACTCAGAAAAATAGGAACGATAAAAAAAAAGAAGGAAAAAGCAGACGAAATGGAATAATAATGTCGCAATACACGGATGGAGATTCCCGCTCGCAGTCGCAGGTTTAATTCTCTCACACATACAAGTAGGAATGCCGACGTCGTATTATCATTGTTTACGACTCTATCATGTAATACTAGGTCTACTCAGAGTAAGTCAATGGCGTGACTTCAATATTTTATTAAGCTGTTTCAAAACATTCAAGAGAGATCTGGCTCAGTCAAAATATGGTTGCTATGCACATCTGTTTTCTTGATCTAAATTACGATGGAGATGTTAAAAAGGCATTACGAAACATAATGGCAATTTGATAAACATTGTTGCCGAATTGACGATAGTTGGTATTGTGTCTGTGTGGCATAAGCAGGACAAAATCTGGACTTTTATGTAACCAAAGAAAAGTCTGATGCTTATAAACTGATGGAAGAAATTGCTAACTTTTTTAAGAATATCATTTATCTGCCATGTTCCTTCATAGATGGGTGATCATGGTTCTCCACGACTTCTAGAATAAAATATGAAACGCAAAATTTAAAACTGTTCAATTTATTTTAAATTGATTGGAAACAAAAATGTTTTTGCTCCTTTCCTTAAAGAAAACTATTTTGTCACAAATAATTTTGAACTCAAGGGAACATGTTTATCTCTGCAATTGACAGCAGAACGTTAAAGCTAATACACCTCTAAGTATATGCGCCATTTGCGGCTACGTGGAACAGAAACCCGTTAACATGACGTTTCGCTTACATCCCAACAGAAACAAACAGCTATCAGATAAACCAAAGTAAAAGCATCTCATAAAAGTTCCAATTTCAAATCCATTAGTTTTTCCATTGCACATAAGCAATTCATCTATGTTCAAGCTGCCAAGCCAATTAGACATTTTTGTAACATCATAAAATATAAATAAGTATTAATGAATGTTTTTTAGAAATCCGCTCCCCAGTTGCCACTGATACTGGAAGTAGATGAAGGAGCCTTTGAGCAATGGAAAGATTGGAAAACATTTCGAGGATTTATTTTTATGCATCAGTGATTTTTAAAAACATTTTTAGTCCTTTGATTTAAGTGTGTATATATATGTGTGTGTGTGAATTAGTATGCGAAACAAAGGTGAAGATTATAAAATAAAATGGAAATTTATTAGCGGTGCGTTTTGACAGAGATCGTATGTTTTTGTTTTGTTTTTTTTTTGGCTTACTTGTGTTAGAATGAAAGACAAAACTGTGCGTGAGGAAAATACATTGGGATTTCTGACAATAAGTGTGAATCATAAATCAAATTATCTTAGCTTATCACTTCCCAATAACCAGACTTAAGATTTTCTGTTTGCCTGTTTGTTTTCTCTCTCTCTCTCTCTCATATAGTCATCCACATACAGGCGGTTTCGCTGTATCACAGCTCATCAGTGTGACTAAACATCCAATCACTTCAGGCCGGGACAGAAACCCGACCGATTTGATGTCAGTTGGCGATTCTAACCCCTAGGCCATCGACGCCGGGCAGAGAGAAAGGCAAATTTTTGCGTATTTTTCATAAATACACCAGTCACTCAGAGAACTCAATCACGAGGGAAATTTTACATTATCAGTAGTAATAGTGACTGTTTACAAATTCGTTCCTTACTCCCCACAGTGCTCGACCGATTAAATTATTTTATCGAGAGCTAATATCGTCATACACAGACAGACTGTTTCGCTGTATCACAGCTCATCAGTGTGGATAAACATCCGATCGCTTCAGGCCGGGACCGAAACCCGGCCGATTTGGTATCAGTCGGCGATTCTATGGTGGCCTGATGATTGCGTCTAGCAGTCTGTCGCTTCTGAGTGTTGATTTCAATGTTCACTTCTATATTTACATATGCTCTATCGCTGATATTGAGCACTTTATCCCATAAATATAGCACACCTTAAAACTATATATATATATATATATATATATATATAAATAAACTTGCACAAACGTGTACATACATACACACCCACGTAGGCATATACATGTATTAGAGCCTTTTTTCTAAATACTTATACATATATGTACACATAAAAAGACCCACCCACATATACCTGTGCATGCATATAAATACACACGCATACACCTTATAGAACATTTTAATGTATACTTGTATACACACACACACACACACACACATATATATATATATATATATATATATATATATATATATATATATATATATATGATATATCGCTAGACATAGCCAGTGGAACGAGAACAATCTATCCCTATAGATTAAATAAAGTGTAAGGGTTCAGTTCAGAATTCCCTATAGGTTACCCAGATCGACATACACCTGATGAAGGCCGGAGGATACAACGATCGAAACTTTGTGGTAACAACAGCAAAGATGAGGACAATAGTCCGCATGTAAATAGTGTAAATAAGACTACATGGCATTACCTATAATATGATCGTAAAAGGATACATTTTTTTGCTTTTGGATCTTGTGATTTCTTGAACCATGACGTTTTTCTTTCTTCATTATCAAACCTGTTCTTTTTCGAAGTTTGGCTGTATTTTTAATTCCTTTTTTCAGCAGTAGCTACCGAAACCTCGTAAAATCTCATCATACAAGATAATTTACAAGATAATTCTTGATCACTTAATTTGTCAGTTTTCCCATTTTGTAGTTACTGGCTTGTAAGATTGGACTTCGAAAATGTTGTTTCATGTAATGAAAATCCATGACTTATTAATTACACGTGCATGGTTCTTTGTTTCAATTCAGAAAATATTCCATAAGTACCTTTTAAGATCTCTATGAAAACAACATATATATTACGAGCAAGATGTATGATTGTTTTTAAAGTACCGACCATACACTCCCATCTTGATTCACACAATGGCTTTGCATTTATATCCAAGTCTTATAAATATGTAGTTAGAATATGACAACGGGTACTCGATACAGAAAAATAATTCCAGATTTGTTGATCCAAACTGGAGAAAGTAGTTCCTTCCAAACAACACCTGACAACATCATTTACTATCAACATTGAAGAATGTTCATTGCAGGCCATAAGAGATCATTGTTTTATTTCGTAATATTCTTCTTTGTGTGCTATATACTTCACCTTTCATGATACTCTTTTTATCATAACCTTTGCCATATAGATTTTTAATTGGTAATCTGATTTGTCTAAAGAGTTTCTGCTCCCTCTCTATCTCCCCCATCTATCTATCTATCTATATATATAATATATATATAAGAAAGAGATCATAGTGGTTCAAACGAGAGAAAAGTATGTATATTAAAAAGAAGAGAAGAGAGGTGCCGCAAAAGTTTTTGGTTGTAATGTGTTTTTTTTTTTTAGAAAAAATATTATGCTTTATTTTTCATAATTTTATAGTTTCAATTTCAGACATTTTATGTGATTGTTTGATTATATTAACAACATTCATTGGTGTTTGTTCAATGTGACTAACAGCAGATGTGCAGTTAAGAATAATTGAGTTTGGCTGAATTTACATGCATTAAAGTCAATTGGTTTTATAATACCGGAAACAGACGCTCATTTTGGATATTTTCCTACATAATGAGCCATTGTTTCTTTTCTCCCTGTGCAGATATTCAGTCATGATAAGATCAAAAAGGGTTAGATATTCCACAAACATTAAAAGATTCCATTGCTAGCAATGTAACACTTCATTTGTATCGCGTAGAGATAACTTTTGCCTGCTAAGTATTTTGCCCAGAACAATCAAGCTTTGAAAACATTGTTGTCAATATTGATCTGATTGTCCAATCATCTGTAAGTTAATTGCATCAATTCTTTTTCCTTTTAGGCAATTCAAGTTAACTCAAGGATTGGGAGTTTTCTAAATTGCCAATATTCCTTTCACGTGAGGAAATAATTGCTCCGGTGTTCTAGTCTTTTTCAACACGCTTTTTGTACAGACGACACACCATTTATCTGGAAAATTTAAACACGCAGAGATAAAAAGGCATATGTGCAAACCCCGTCTTGTATAGAAGAAAATGCTATTACCTCTCTATTGTTATGCAATGGCTCAAATGTCCTGCATTCTTCAGATACACTACTTAAGGCAATTACGGCTATACTGCTTCCACAAAGGCGAATTACCCTAATTTGTTGTTATTTTTAAATTTTGAGGAAGTTTATGTGATAGAATTTGTTGTGGTTCCTGTTTTATTATGTATTGTCAGAAATGATCACTGCAAACGTCGACCTACTTAGCATGGGCAGTGTATTAAAAATCAGTCGTAATATCGTTTTCTGTTTCAGACTTTATTGTAATCGTTCTTATCTTTCCAAAATGTCTGTAATTTATAAGTTTGCTCCCCTGTGGATACTTTTAAAATCAGTGCAGCCACATTCACATTCTTGATTTTCTTTTTGTGAACAAAGGTAATCTGAAAAGAACTTCCTTTACTTTGCATATTCCTCAATACTTCCTACTGTTTGTTTGCGCTTCCAAGCTCCAGAATTTTTTTTTTTCATTAATCATAGCTAATATATATATATATATATATATATTCTGGCAAAAATTATCAAGAAAAAAAATAAAAAGAACGCTGTAACACATTCGGCATTTATTCTCCTTCAAAATAGTCCCTTTCTGAAACCACGCACTTTATCCAGCAACGTTTCCACTGATGGAAGCATTCCTAGAACTCGTTTTTGGGAGGTAGCGAGCAGCTGCCAAGGACTGATGAAACAAAATGCTTTTTGTCAGTTTTCCCGGGCGTT